AGCCTAAAACATCTGCGATTCTAGTGCTTGGCGATATTGTACAACGGATCATTTTATCAATAAAGAATTCGTGACTGATTTTTGATGAAAAAATGAAATTTTATGTCAACAACTAAACTACGTTAAAAATCAATCTTTGTGAATCTTAAGTTAGGTCTCAATTAAACAACGATACTATTATTTACCGACCTTTTTTAGATTTACAGAATAAGCCTAGGATTCAAAGACTACAAAACTACTGTTGCAGGCTTGTATCTGTACTGAGGAGGTACAATCATGTCAGTTCTAGTATGAATAAGCTTTCCATGTTGAACATGGGTAATAGAAGGCTTCTTCATAATAAATTTATAAAACTACGTCGGATTCATCAGGTAAATATTAGCAGCAGTCTACATGTGCCTAGACACCGCACAGCAATATTCAGGACGATAGTTTCAAACACCTTTCTTGTAATGCTATTGAAAATAGTACCAATCGTTATCTTCTCATGGGTCATATCAATCGATGCTGGATATGGGTATAATATATGTTTATATGTGGGTTATAACACTTTCGTGAACTCCGCTCGTAACTGAATATTGAATAATTAAAAGTGAAAAACATTGTTATATCATAGTTGAGCTACTTTATGTCTTTACCTTTTTATGTAGTCCAGTAATTAAGCAATAGGTTAGTCGGATAAGTGGTAGATTAGCTCTCAGCTAAACTTCGCCGTCTTGCTTTCGCATATACAATATCGATTAGGCACTAGGTACATCATACAGTATAGTTATTATGACTATCATTGATATTTATGTTTATCTTTATTATTGGGTTTTCCCTTAAATATGTTCATGATATAGATACAATTTTTTTTTAAAGTTGAGTTGAAAAATACCCCTAGGGTAACACTCCACCTTTTCAATTTTGCACCTTTGCGGTTTTCAAGATATTATTCTTTTGTTTTATTTTGTGTATGCAAAGTTGAATCACGGCACACTATTATTATTATTATATTATTATTATTTTTGTATTTTTGTTCTAATATCATCTCATTATCCGCACGAGTATCATGTAAAAAACCTATAAAACGTCAAGAAAATTCTATAAGATGTCAACTTGCAGACTAGGTAGATTTTAGGGCGCAATCAGTCATTCCATGTTTGTTCACTAGGATCGTTGAGAACGTCCATCTATGGAGGAATCACTCAACTACACTACGCATTATTGGTTGCATAGTTTTGTGAGGCTGAGTGATCCGGGTCTGTAGTTTTTATCTCTGAGAAGAAAGTTGGTTGAATAGTAAGATCGCATCTGGATGATTATGTGTATTGGTCTGCATGTGTATAAAATCAGTGATATTTGCTGCGTGAGAAAATCATTACTGAATATGCCGAATATGACGGGTTATTTATATGTTGTGCTTTCTGAAGAGAGGTTATGTTCAAAGTTATAAACTACGAAAAACTGAGAATTACGGGAAATCATCACCGTTCCTGCATTGTGTGTAATTACTGTTAGCATGTATATGGCTTGTAATTCGACAGTGTACAGTGAATATAATTATTTCTCATCTCTCTCATTTTTGAAATTCAGCAAATTTCTATATGTAATTTCCAGAATGGATAAGAAAAAGTGGATGCGCAACTAATTTCTAGCTTTGAATCTCAATTAAGTGTATTTGAGACAAGAACACAATGTAATTATCAACACATACAGCTTACAGCTTAGACCTCCAGTAATGCCATCTCAGAAGCAGATTTTACATCAAATCAGAGCCAAAGATTGTTAACCAGCGTCATGACGTTTAGGCAACACGTACAACTAAGTACTAAGTTAACATCTTGTAGAATAACCTACATAATGTCAGAAAAACCAGCATAATGTCAAAAAAAAGTGGGCATAATGTCACTTTTCAAGATACGTGATACCCGTGCCAGTAGCAAATAAAGTCGAATATTAGTACCATTATTATATCACATCTATATCTACTCATTCATCAGCATAAGACAAGATCTAGCGTCCAGACGCTAATAACCTTCTTCAAATAGTCAAAGTTGTACGAAGTATAATCAAACTTGCGTCCGTTAACACGATGATGAACATGTGCTGGTATATGGGCTAAATGGGGTATATAGAAAGCTGGATGTCATATAAGGTATCATATCAAACTCGAAATTGCTTCAATTATACATGGAACTAAAAAGTACAAAATCACGACCGTATCTTGAAATATCTATACAAAGTGTACAAACGCCATCTTACGGAACCAGATCTTCCATCTCCATCAGATATACTTTTATAAGGTAATATCTGCTAATACCCTAATTACCATCTATTCGAATGTACACGGCTGGTAGTGATGCTATCTACGCTTGTATGGCATTTCACATTGAGTGTCATCTTTTAATAAGAATCGACGCCACGTATCTCCTGATGTCGACCACCAAGCTCACGCTGATTGACAATCTTTAAGTTCATAGACGTACGCGAACGTATTTTAGGGACACTAGCTCGAATTCTTCGCAGAATAATTTTGGGTAGGTACTGGAGACATGTCTGGTATATCAAATGAAATTAAATCATTTATTCATGCAAGATGCAGTCGTTGTATGAACACATGCCATTTCGGAAACATTCAAGTGCATTCACAGATACGTTTTAAAACATTAAAAAGTCAAGTCACTATAAAGTTATTTAACAGTTTAGCACCTGGTATTATTAAAGCACATTACGTGTTCCATTACAGAACACATACAGCTAAGCACAGTCAAAACCAGTATCTAAAATATTTCATTTAGTATACGGAGCAAGTTTTTGGAGATATTGTTTAACACGACCCGACCTGGCCTGACCTAGAGATGGCGATAGTTGCTTGAAAAATATCATTGTATTAGAAAGTATGCAACCTATAAAGCATATGTGTCAAGTTTGAAGACGCCACGTTGTTTAGTATTTGTTTGGCAGCCATCAATACTGAACGTTTCCAGTGAATTTGTGAAAATGGATAAAATTGGTCATCGTTATGTGGTACAATACGCTTATTTCAAAGACCTCAGCCCAACCAATATAAAAGCTGAACTGGATTCTACTCTGGGTGAGTCTGCTCCCTTCGTTTACAACAGCAAAATATTGGGTAGCAGAGTTTAAACGAGGCCATATGAGCTGCCAAGACGAGCATCGCAGTGGTCGACCAAATGAGGTGACGACTCCAGAAATGGTAAAGAAAATTCACAAAGCGATACTGAATGATCTTCGACTGAAAGTGCGCGAGCTGAAAGACATAGTAGGCATTTTAAAAAGTGCAGTTCATCGCATATTATCTGGAAATTTGGACATGAGAAAGCTGTGTGCAAGATGGGTGCCGCGATTGCTCACAATCGAGCAAAAACAGTGTCGTGAAGATGTTTCAATTCAGTGTTTAGCGAAGTTTCACAGCAACAAAGCAGAATTTTTGCATCGTTTCATAACCATGGATGAAACATGGGTCCATCACTTCACACCCGCGACAAAAGAACAATCAAAACAATGGACTCAAAAGGGACAACCGGCTCCAAAGAAGGCGAAGACCGTTTCATCTGCAGGCAAGGTTATGGCGTCGGTTTTTTGGGATGCGCGTGTGATAATTTTCATTGACTATCTTGAAAAAGGTAAAACTATCAACGAGTATTATGCGAACTTATTGCAACGTTTGAGCGATGAAATCAAGCAAAAACGGCTGCATTTGGATAAGAAGGAAGTATTGTTTCATCAAGACAATGCACCAGCTCACAAATTCGTTATTGCAATGACCAAAATTAACGAAGTAAAGTTTGAATTGCTACCTCATGCACCCTATTCACTAGATTTAGCCCCCTCGGATTATTTTCTGTTTGAAACTTGAAAAAATGGCCAAAGATTTTCCAACGATGAAGAAGTGATGTCGGCAGATAATGGTTATTTTGAGGAGCAAGACAGTTCTTATGATAAAAAGGGTATAGAACTTATTTAACTTCGCTGGAAAAAGTGTATAGAGTTCAAAGGAGATTATGTTGAAAAATAAATACAATTTTTTACAAAATTTATGTGTTTCCTTCGTTAGGTCGGGTACTTCTGGGGCCACCCCCGTATAAGTTGACACCAATAAATTCTGGTCTATTTTGACGCTTTCTCAGTCAGCAGAAGATAGGTCTGATTTTGTTTCTATAATTATGTATCTCACTCTGAAGAGCGAATTTGTTCTTTATTTCTTATAAGAAACAATACACTTTCCAGAACAAAAATAGCATGAAAATTTAAGATGACCAACTTGACAAAGGCTTCCCTGCACTCGAAAAGATAATCTTGCTAGTATTCTTATAGCCCTCTGTAGATAAAAAACTCTATCTGCATCAGCAGCTCCACCCCATGCCATAATTACATAGCGCATTACAAAATGAAAGAGGCCATAGCCCCCTCACTGAAGCGCATGGAACAAAAAAACTATTGCACGCAGCCTCTTACAACCACCTTCTACATGAGGCAATGACTGAAGACTGGCATGGATGTTTTATTTTAAAAAAATTAATAGTCTGCTGATCCTTATTACTCAGGTCTCTGAGGCCGTTTTTTGAGTTTTGTCAACATTCAGCACAAGTCTGTGTGAAACCATTGCTCAGCCCTCATCGGTGCATCCAGCCTCAAATCAAATATTTGAGCACCATGTATGTAAGTTATTGATGTTTATCAAAATAAGGAGCCACCGACTGAGGCCTGTGGCACCCCTACTCTCAACTCTAGCTCTGATAACACGGCATCCCCAAGTTGCACTTTCTGGTGTCGATTTTAAATGTATGATTTGAATATTTGTATGCTGGAATTGGAGAGTTTATATGCCTCCAGCTTTTGAAGCAAGATCGTGCGTGTTACACATTTGAAAGCTTTTCTTAAGTCCACAAATAATGATACACTATGCACTCGATTTTCGAATGCTTCCATTATATTTGAGAGCAGGTCCAGAACAGCAAGAATAGTGCTTTTGTCTGTCTTATCAAATGAACGACAAATAACCTTCTGCTCGCTTGTCGCTTTGGAGGTTTGGATGTGCTTTGGGAACGGGAATGTCTACCCTAGGCGAAGCTGGACTTTTTTGGTTTTACGCGATGTCATCTTAGAATTGCAATGAGGTCTTCGTGTGATCTCGGTATTCCATCTATTGTCACAACACACTGAACAGGAATTTAGAGAAGAAAGAATAAATCAACTGTCACATGGAAGACAGATAAACAAAAATATATTGTCATTAGCTGTCATTATACTTGAAAAAGCTCACCGTGGTGTTCGAACGTACAGAAATTAAAACATATACTCAATATCTGGTTTGATTCTGCTAGACAAGTCCTACTGAATGTACTAGTAAGTCGTGATAATTGACCATATCCGTATCAAATGGAGACAGCTACGTGGAGTGGAAGAACCGTTTTTCGCGCTGAGAGTGACAATATGGAATAGTAATTACATTTGAAAAAGAAATAAAAAAATCAGTTTATCACTTAATTTACAGATATCGATGTTCGACAATCTGTCAAGTTACGTGCGAATCGCTGCGTGGATTATCCAAGTGCATCCAAGGTCAGTTGCAACCCAAGGAAAATCGAAGCAATCCAAGAAAATTTGATTAACCCAAGGAGATCAGAGGGATCTGTACCTGTGCAAATTTCTATCGCCATTTATACTCCATCGTTAGCCTATTGCTAGCAGAACTATTTCTAATATTTTTCTAGGTCTTATGGTTTTATCTGGTGGTGGTGATGCAAGCAAATCTAAAGAAATGCCGTGGAGAGCCAAGGATTTTCAATCAGGTTCAGAAATATTTAAAAATACATAAATATATTGAAATAATTTACGATTTTGGTGCTACCAACGCAGTGAAACTATATGAATACTATAGGTACGCCTATGTTATTCAAAGCTGATTGACAATCTTGATATTTATGCAAAGTCGCTGGCAATCCTGCGATTCCCTATAGCTGAACGCAGTGCATTGCGCTGTTTTTCTTGTTCAAAAAGGAAATTGAAACGGGCTAATTTCGCATGTACATATATTGAAGAAGTGGACTCTACATTGATGCTTATATGCATACGTAATATAGCGTGTAAGGCAAACAACTTAATATTGAAATGAGGCAGTGCAGTACACAAAAGCACCATTAGAATTTTGCACTGCCTACAGAAGCTGATTTTCAAATATTTTCTTCAAATTGGTCTTGTATAAGTTTCATTTTTATGCCTACTAAATAATATGCCGCGAACTATTATTACCGAGAGATACATCTGACACCGAGAAAAAAACATTACGCAGTCTGAACTCTTGGTACAGCCGAGTCACTTTAACTGGTGACGCAAGCACCAATCGCCTTCGTAGCTGTCATACATAATTTGAAAAGTCATTACATGAGGATTCTGTATGCACAACTATTATCAAGATACCTTTTTGGCAAATTCTCCATGTTTGTTGAAATGTTATCTGGAAGTTTTAACAATATTCATTTCGTGATACTTCAGGTATAGTAAAGCGACGAATTTCAAAGCCATTCACAAGATGCAGTTGGCATTGGACAGGTGCATTAACAAAGGATGGTAATTACTTAATTATGACGCAAACTGAATTGTAAACTGCGTCCAATCGTCTTCAATGCTCAGAAGTTTCTTTTTGGAAAATCTATTTATGCGAAAATATATTATATTATTCTTATCAATGTGACACCTACAATACTTATTCAACATAAAGCACTAATTATGGTATTTGGGTATATCTTGTATGGATCTGGGAGAAGATTTATTTCTGACAATCAGGATTGGTTTATGCATGAGAGGTCAACAGTCATAAACTTGCCTTGTCAGACCCTTTACTGATTCTCATAAAGTCATATATCCTGGAAAGGAGCAAGTGCAGGAATATGGCGGCTATCAATCCAAGACTTACACTGCAACATCTGTGTGTACCTCAGGGGTCCAATTTAGGTCCTTTGTTGTTCGTACTCTTCGTCAATGATTTATCCATGACATTGCAATGCGTGCATCTACCTTATGCTGATGACTTGAAAATTTAAACTTTTATTAATAAACTCTATGACTGAATTCTGTTGCAAAGCTGCGTTAGTGTTATCTACTCATGGTTCTCTAAAAATCAACTTAATACTAGTATTTAAAAATGCAAGGTTATGCCATTTACTAGAAAACTATACCCTATTTCACGAGTATCCATCACGCTGGAATGGCAGCTGATTAACTAGTAACATCTCAAAATTGCCCATATCGGCACAAGATACATACTTCTGACGGATCTGTCAACGTCAGAGCCGTATTTTGTTTTGGTTTTTTGTATGCTACAGATTCTTTTTGTACTTGCTAACAGCTCTTTTATTTAGAAAACTTAATTTGCATATTAAAAACAAAACGCAACAAACAAGTTTTACCAGATTTACACCCAATTCATTATTGCCAACGTCACATATTAACACAAAACTGTCACTTGCTGATCAGCTGTTCACCTCAGTAGACGTCAATATGTGATGGACACTGGTGAAATACAGTATACATCCTATGGTATACGATTATTATAACACTGATGACAACAAGCTTGAGCAGACCTCGACTTTCAAGTGATTTGGATCGTTTTCGATGCTAAACTGTTATGACCAACGCGTTCAAGCGGTTTGAGTAACTGACGTCATCAACCCGTGTGTCATCGTAAGCCATATTATAACCGTGGTACATAACACAGAAAGTTTGGCTATTGATGAGCGTCTTTGTATATTAATTAGCTTATAACTTAACAGCTATTATTTAAAATCTTGTAGCAAGGTTTATCAATCTCCTTATGGAAGGGTCTATCCTAATATGCAACCAGGTATGAAACGCTTCATTATATGTGACTAAATTTTGGTACACCCTGTAGAATGATATTTTTGGAATGAGTCCCTAGATACAATATACATCAAATCATAGTTTTTAAAGAAAATCTATCATTTATATCTTCCATAATCAATTTTTCACAAATCGGTTTGTATCGAAAGGAGAGAAACGGTTTTTCAAATAATGGATTTTTTTCACTCAGTGCCACATTCCTAACAGCGACATCACTATGTCTAGCGTGGGCAAGTCGTGCATGCCTTTGCCCCGCTAACATAATGGACCGTAAGTATCGGCCCACTGAAATTATGCCCAGAACCAGTGCATAAAGTCCACTAGATAAAGAGGAAGGAAGAATGGGGCAGATAAGCTTATATTTATTTAACACCTGAAAGGCCGGTACTCGATAGCTTCATTCAAGCCAGTTGCATTGGCAAGAATAATGCTCTACGTCCCATACCGGGTGTCCGATTCTCACAATTATTGGGATCTTCAAGGTACAAGGTGGTGCAACATTGAGTTTTTAGTTCAATTTTTTTGTTACTTTTAGCTTAAGTCATAATTTGGATACTCTTAAAGGAGGTGGGCTGATAAAAGAAATTTTTCGCCCATCAGCGAATAGACATGACATATATATATTTATGAAGAGTATACTCCATAACAGAGAAGAAAACATAATTATTTCAAATGAAAACTGAAATTCGTGGTATACATAAATTAAATAATTAAACAATAATAAAAGATAATCAGTTTTCATACACCTAATATATTTTTTACTAATCTTCTTCCTTGTCTTCTTCATTCGAATCACTATCAGACCATCCTTCAGTATCATCAGAGGTACTTGTTGAAGTAAGAACTCTTGTTGTTACAGAAGATGAAGTGGGAGTCTTTTGAGATTGAGCTCCGCGGAATGCATATGATCTGCATTTAGGACACAACTCAGAACCAGTCTGCAGATCACAGTTTTTAGATTTTTGTTATAATGTTTTTGTTCGAGCAGCTACGGAAAACACTGTTTGTTTTTCGCCACGTTTTACAACAATCACACTGGTATCCAGGCATTATTGTTTTATCAAGTTTTTCAATAAACGTTGATCGGGACAGCACAGCACAGTTTCTATACCTTTACTAGGTAAATACTTTTCGAGCGCGAAAAATCATGTCTGATTGCAGCGTGACTCACACTCTCCCGCAGCATATATTCCGTATTTTTGGTTTGATGCGCTCACTGAACAAAAACAAATAAATACTCATATACAAGCTTATAATAAGTAGACTCGCTGAGCATTAAAGTTAATGTGGTTGATGGAACGCTTCGTAGGGAAAACATGATTCAAAGATCGAAAAACAACAAAAATGCACATAAAGCTCTAAATACTCTATTTCTTGGCAATCATTTCTGAAGCATATTACATTATTTATACCGTAAATATTATATAATGAAAAAATACATGTCGTGAAGTTCACAAATAAATTCAATAATAGTCTGGAATAGAACTTTTTATTTTTGAGTTTGTTATGGGCGTAAAATGTTCCTTATCAATCAACCTCCTTTGTTTTTGAAATATGCTCTCTCAATGGAAAAGTTATTCTATAGCGTTTTCTAAAGCTTTTATAACCACATACATCGATTAACGATTAATTACGTCAGACTAAAAAGGTTCCTCAGGAGCAACTTATGCCTCGGCACAGGCAAAAAATGTATGCTTAATGAGCATTACACGTCTCTAGTTTCATGTAAATGAATCAGGTACGCAGCTTTACGCCTTTTCCCTAAAAACTACACGGTTGTTGTGTTGATGCACTGGGAAGAATTATATTTATATAGCCTGAGGGATAGCCACGCACTCTGTGATGAACTCAGCCAGATTCTAGTTTGAGGAATGTTGTTCGTTTTCTGCATTTTTGATACATACGCCCCATGATTCATATTTATACCGAAATTAAAGGATGAAAGTCATATTTGGATAAATAAGTTGACAGTACGATGGTTCTGATAGGCAGCAGACTGTCGAATGTGGAGGTACCACCCGGTGGATCTCTAAGGCGGGGCCAGAATGTGTGCATCTGGCATACACACGTGTTCCAACGCTAGAGTACGTGTGGCGTCCCCCCTTTCCGCCATAGCCCCATAGCCCCACAGTACCCATGGGTGTGTTTGGGCCTTAGGCCTTAGTGGCCTTCGTGGTGGTTCAAGTATGAAAAAAGACGTGTCTTAAGACTCAACGTTCTGGGCCTCTTATACTTTGTCCCCTTCCCCATGCAGGAAAGGACAAAATCTGAAACTGTTGATTGAGGAGCCCCTCGTAGTCTGCCGCATCAGACCTTCATCTATTTGGCTCTAGGATTCATATGCCCACATATATACAGGGTGACTTCGAAGTTGATTCATTTATTTTAACAGTGAGTAGATCTGATCAAAATAAATGTTTTTTTCCTTTAACATTTTTCTGGCAAGACTAAAGTAACAAAGAAGTTTGAGTACCGCCCTGTCTCAATAATAATATTATGTGCTCGTGTTTGGCAACAACGGATATAATCCACCTTATCGGTTTATCGCATCGGAAACAAAAAAGCGAAAGAATTTGAAACGCTTATCACGATGCTTTTACTACAATTTTATTCAGTTGTATTTAATCAATGTGTCAGTCGGTAACGCGCGAGTGAATAGTGGTGTTTGTTGCGTGGCTCAAATGAAATAAAAAGTGGCACATGTTTACGAAAATGCTGAACTTGTGGACATGATTCTTATTTACGGAGGGGGGAGTCTTTACAAATTGCTGCCGCGGCATCACGGATTTATGCGGATCGGTTTCCCAATCGAGTGCAACCAACCCCTCGTGCCTTTGTTAATGTAGTACAAAGGGCTCGTGAATCAGGTGACTTAAGACCTCACAGGGGAGGGCATGCCGGTGCTCCAAGACCGCACGATCAAATACAGGTCCGCACTGAAATACTTGTCGGGAGGATACTTTATAAAACAAGGTAACATTTTTTTTAAATTTTTTTTAATTTTTACACACATATTTTGGTTTATCTTCCTTCTACAATCATTATCTGAAAATTAATGACTCAAATTCAAAGTCACCCTGTATATACTCGTATAACAAAAAGTAGTAAAACAATGGGCAAAATCGGCAAAAGGAGGGAAGTGGATTCGAGCAGAAAATAGGATAGGAAACCCGAGCGATACGTATTTCTGTCGGTTGGCGTCATTAGGCCCAGGTTAGATGTCTTCTTGAAAATTCGAGGTCTTCTAGCCATTTTATACTACAATGTGTAGGTTGCTATTGTTGTGGACTTCGTGTGTCGTTTTTTTCCCTCTCCATCTTCGTTTCCTCAGGTTAAACCCGTATCCGGATGTGTGGGCATGTGTATCTACTTTTGTAGTTTCATATGTGCATTCGTTTCGGGCCTGATGAAGCCAACCAGCAGAAATACGTATCGCTCGGGTTACCTATCTTATTTTCTGCTCCAATCCACTTACCTCCTTTTTGCGGATTTTGCCCATTATTTTCCTACTTTTTGTTATATACCTTTTCCCGCATGACCACATTTTCTCTTTATTATATATATATATATATTTTGCCCTTTCGGTTTTTCCTGTCCGAAGTGTAAGATTCTCTCTAGATATGCGGCAGACTCACTATAACCCTTTAGTTGTTCGCTACTCATCCCATCACGGTAATGCTTGCAGAATTTTGTCATGGTGGGTAAGTTTTCATACCAAAGGTATACACCTACATATACCTTTGTACCTATGTATACGTATGTACAACCCAGAAAGTAGAAATCTGCGGTTGGAAAGAAACA